CTCTGAGGTCACATCAGTGTCCAAGTAGCAAAGAACAAAAGTGGGCCACAGTTAAAGTGGGTGCTTCAACAGGAAGCACTTACTTCCAGATAAAGAAATACTCAAGGGTGCATGGAGATCATGTCCCCTTCTACACAGCCCAGGGTCTCTGGGTCAGGCTGTCCTCGCTGTTCCAGACAGAAGGTCCCAAGTCTGTCAATAGGTGGCAGGCAATAGTCATTTAGCCTAAAGCAAATCATCGGTTAAAACTTTGCCTAAAAAGCAATGTGTTATATAAATTCCTAGAGACTACAGTAGCCTGCACATGTACAGGTTAAAAACATATGGGTTACTAGCACTGAGAGGGGAAGTGGACACAGGCTCCTACTCCTAACCAAGAAGCTATCTGCAATTGATGGCTGCTGGTGAATGGCACGTAGGTTTTCTCCAGTGGAGTTTCACTGTGTATATTGACTATACCTTGAGGCAGGCCCAATGCCCAAGAGCAGTTGGCCAACACAAAACTAGTCCAATGGTATTTTTGAAAATGTTTTGCCTTATTTTGCTTTGGTGAGCATTTTTTTGTTTTGTTTTACTGGTCTTATTTATTTTGTTTTTGTGTTTGTTTCTTTCATTGTTTGTTTTTGTCTGCTTTTTGGATATAAAGTTGGGTGGGTAGGGAGGTGGGAAGGATCTGTGAGGAAATGGAGGAAGGGAAAAACATGATCAAAATAATATCGTTTGAAAAAAAAGTTTTTCCAGTGGAAAATGCTTAAAAAAGTAGCATGTTCTATATGTTATGCCATGTGCAGGGTAGGGAAAGACTGAGGTCTGGGAAGGATCTAGGGCCCGCCAATTAACAGAACTGGGGACCCACAGCAGGACTGGTGAGCAGTGGGGATGATCTGATGAGCAGCCACAGACCACACTTGACTAGGTTTGGCTGGATCTTAAGAGTAGGCCGAGACTCAGGTCTGAGATTTCGGGGCAGTGACTCAGCTGTGGAAGTAATGTTGGAGTTATGTTTAAGTTCAGAATCCAAACCGGGGTGGAGAACCCCAGTGACAGCTTCCCCTACCCCCGTGCCTGTCCTCGACCTCGCTGTCTGCTCCCAGGAGAGACAAACCAGAGTCAAGTTTGTAAATGACTCTGCGTAAGTGGGATACGGAGATGAGCAGAAGACACTACCTGGCTAACAAGGGAAGGCGTTGGCTTTCCACTACTTGACAGTACCCTTGGCCATTCCTCTCCCAGCAAAGAAAGCTGTTCCACATTACACTGAGATTTTTAAAGGGACGATTACATCAAAAATGGAAAGATGGTTAAAATTGCTGGTGCTCACGAATAACCAGATGACAGCTCATCCAGTATTTAGTCCCATATTTATTATGTAAATAAACCAGGAATAATGGACTGATTCCTTATTTACTCTGACATTTTATTTATGGTGGATCTGAGAGCGAAACAATCATCCTGTGTCCTTGATTGTGGGATTCCAATGTCCACTTCGATGACGCCTGCCATTTGCCACAGCATGGTGTATTTAAGTGGACGCCATACACGCTGATGCTTGCCAAGTGCTTAGTAACTTTAAGAAGAATCCTTAGTGACTTGCTGCACTCCATCTTGACATACGATTTTTGCTTTATGAAACATGGAAGATGATACATTTTATATTTAGGGACCATTTGGTAGGGAGGCTGGTAGAGTAAAATTTAATTGATTTCTTCTCCCCTCTGGAGCTCTTGAAGAAATAGCAGTGAATTCAGATTAGGTGGCATCATGCATATTTTTGTAAAAAGGAATTTTTCCTTGCTTAGGCTGAACGCATCTCTGAGAGTTTCACCTGTCTTGGATACTCTCCTTTATCTTCCTCTCACAGACAAACATTACCATGTTTTATGCATCTTTGTGCCGCTGCTGCAGCCCTGCTCCCCCCCTCTTGTCCGCCACAGGTAGCGGTGTTCTCACATTACAGACAGGGCCCCCTGCTCATAGGTCCCCACTCCCACCCATCCCCCAAAGCCAGACTGTCAGTCTGAAACTCTTCTCATCATGTTCCGCCACGCCCAGCGTTTTATATAGAATGATTCCAACCTCGTAAGGGAGCACTTGAGGTGCCAGTCCAAAATTATCCTCCTAACTCCACTTCCGGTCCCGCCCCCCCCCCCCAATCTCGTTGTCGCACACAGAGCTGCAGCTACGGCTCTCTGCTTTCTGAGTAGTCTACCGTGGTCTCCCTGTCTGTTGGAGCATGTGGTTTTCTCTGCCTAGAAGTTCTGTACTTAGTGGACTCTTTAAGCATACCCTGAAAGGGCTGGCTCAGAGACGGCTTCTGTGACATACTGCCTGACTCCCACGGTTAGCGAAGCCAGCGCCACTTCCTGCATCTGAAGTACATCTGTGCTGATAACGTTTAATTCTGTTGTTAGTGAGGCTTTGTCTGTGGATCTCTCTCTCTTCTGTCTGCCTAGGATTGATGCAATGCCAATGGCCATTCCCTGCTCGTTATCTTCACTTTCACCCTGTGCTCTCATAGTTAACGCCATCTCCAACGCACCATAAATGTTCAGCAGACTAGTTTGGAATGGGTGGTTCCATCGCACGGGGTCTCATGAGTCCCTTAAGTTGAACTTTTGGACTTTCTGCTGAGGCAAGTTTTTGCTTGCAGTTGTAACTGTTAATAGTAACGTCTGGTTCTAGTCTTCAGCCATCTCGCCCCTCTGGTTCCACAATGACTGCGCAGCAGACCCTCAAGTCTTTCTCTTTGCTGTTACATGACAGTCTGAGACTCCTGGACATTTTCGCTAAACAAAACTAAGTTTTCAGGAGTGGCCTGAATCATCTACCAGTCAAAGTGCTCTACCCTTTCTTGCCCCTTTTGATTCTCACATTCCTGTAAAGCTTTTATCATCGTCTTTAGCTTCAACTTTTCATTAGACACAGGCCATTTCTCCCCGACTCCTCATCTTCTGAGACTGTAAATTATCCTGTTACTTCATTGGTAATGGGAACATATTTATTTTCTGTGATGGCGGCTCCCTTGAGCCTTCCTTTTTCTTAGCTACATAAAGTTAACTTCCTCAGTGGCAAATTAAGGACAGATTACAAGCAGCCTGGGAACCAGGCTCCATCACCACAGGGGCCGCCTACTCAGCCTCCTTCTGTTCAGCCATCCGAGAGCTGCAGCTGCTAAGCCAGCTCTGGGCTGCTCTCCCCCTGTCTCTCTTGAGCTGAGAGGCAGAGAGAGAGAGAGAGAGAGAGAGAGAGAGAGAGAGAGAGAGAGAGAGAGAGAGAGAGAGAGAGAGACCTCTTTCTCTCCAGCAGTATTGTTGGTGTCTGATCTTGAGTCTTCTAGGCTCCCCTCTCTTCCTCCTTCTCCCCCTACCCCAGCTGCCTACCCATCTCCTCCTACACCCAGACCAGCAGTGACTGCACTTCAAGACTTCCCCCCCCCTTCCAGCACTGCCGCTCAGTTTCCATAGCAACAGAAAATGTTGGTGGGAAGCAAAGATGCTGAGCTGCAACTAGCATTGGGGCTGGGAGGAGGAGGAGGAGGAATGTGGGCCTCTCCGGAGGCTTCCGAAGTAGGAGGCAGGAAGCACCTTGGGTTTGGGGGCTGGGGAGAAGGCAGCCAGGCGAGAAGCCCTCAAGAAGGGAGAGAGTACAGGGGGGAAGTATATTAGCAAGTAGAAATTGCATGGGTTGGAAAGTTGACATAGGAAGAAAGAGGAAGACTTATAAAGAGTGATGGAGAATTCTGTCTATACAGGAGCTGATGGTGTTAAGCAGAACACTGGGAGTGAATGATCTCACTTTAAAGGGTGGGCCGTGGAAGAGTATAGTGGTAAAAACATGGTGGGGGCACTCAGAGCTTAATAAAATAATAATAATAATAATAATAATAATAATAATAATAATAAATTTACATGGAAAGCAAAAAAGATGATAATGGACCTGGGTTTGTGATGGGCCTATTTTTTTGAGCTCATGGAGTTATTAATATATTGACTTCAAAAAAGCTATGAGTGAAGATCATGGAAAATACAGTACATGAAGCAGATGCTCATAATGTGTAAGAATAGATTTTAAAAAACACTTTAGTGGAGGGATGGTGTTTCAAATGGGGTTCAAAGCTAGAAATACCACTCACAATTCACCTAGAAATGTGAGTAGTTGTATGTTTTCTTTCTGAATCATTTTCAGTTTTGCACATCTCTAAGCATGTATTGTGCTGCCTAAGCCCATGATTCATATGTGATACCCTGCTACCATGTGCCTAAGTCCATGATTCTTACATGATGCCTTGCTACCATGTGCCTAAGTCCTTGATTCATACCTGACTCCTTGCTACCATGTACCTAAGCCCATGGTACATATGTGATGTCCTGTTACCATGTACCTAAGCCCATGGTTCATATGTGATATCTCGTTACCATGTACCTAAGCCCACAGTTCATATGTGATGTCCTGTTACCATGTACCTAAGCCCATGGTTCATAAGTGATGTCCCGTTACCATGTACCTAAGCCCACAGTTCATATGTGATGTCCTGCTACCATGTACCTAAGCCCATGGTTCATATGTGATGTCCTGCTACCATGTACCTAAGCCCATGGTTCATATGTGATGTCCCGCTACCATGTACCTAAGCCCACGGTTCATATGTGATGTCCTGCTACCATGTACCTAAGCCCATGGTTCATACGTGATGTCCTGCTACCATGTACCTACTCCATGGCTTCGGAGCGGCCCTCAGTGCTTGCTTGCTCTTTCATCACACAGAACCATCCCAAGCCTCCAGCTAATCTCTCCACAGGGCTTTACAGAATCCTCTTCTATTTGTGCCAGGCCACAGTAATGTTCATCACAGTAACTTTCCATCTCTCTTTCTCTTCCCTTGATTCAAGGGGTTGCTACAGAAATCATGTTCCTTGCTCACAATCACACTCACAGTGGTCTGCTGTTTTTTTCCTGAATGAATCTATGACATCACTTCCTTCAGAACTGCAAGGCAAGAAATGCTATCAAACTCTGTAAGAAGATGCCGATGAGATGACCTCTCTACTGCACCTCCCGCTTTCCTTCTCACGCCACTGACAGTGGTGGTGACTGGCCAGCAACACTTGTGCTCACTGTCCCTATGCTCTATGGAGAGGGACTCATACAAATCCCACTTCAACCCAGTGGGAGAGGGAGAAGTGTGTGGTTTATATCATATCTGTTTCTATACATGCAAGCTGAGGCACAGAGATACAAAGACCTGACTCAAGGTTACAAGCTTGTTAAAGGCTGAGCTGGGATTTGAGTCCTGGTGGAATCTGTCTTAATCATCACATTGTGCTACTTCTGTATGAGAAAAATAATATTTGGGCTCCTTGAGGAACTCAGGCTTGGGCATATTACTACTGCTTTTCATAGATAGCTGGGTTTTTTTTTTTCATCACAGACTATAATTTAATGAATAAAGAAGCTCCAGCTCCCATTTCAAGGTGTATGTGCCGAATCCATTGATTTATCTATTTGTTTTTTTCCTCAGATTTTGGAGAAAAGCTGAGAAAAGAATGCTATGATCTCACAGCAGTGAAGACAGTTGTAGAAAAACAATACAGGTATGAGAAATCTGACTGCATTTCCAGTCAGGAAGAAAGGGAAAATGCTGGCCCGTGCCGAAAGGTAGAGGCAGCTCAGAACTGAGGTGTATGGAGATGCTTCCAGTCAACAGAAGCATCCCAGCTCTCCCCCTGGAGAATCCAGGTTTCCATCTGATAGCAGGAAGACAGGCTGAAGGAAGATGCTCGGAAGTGGGGCAGAGTCTGGGAGTGAATTTTGAAGTCTGTGAATTTAGTAGTTGCTTTTCTACCTATATCCAACCTCTAACCTCCCTACACACACACACACACACACACACACACACACACACACACACACACACACACTGGACAACTGTCTTCTCTTCCTCTCAAAATGAAACAGAAGCTTGTTTTCTCCAATGTTTTGTAAGGTCTTCCTAGGAAGGGGAGCCCAGAGCAACCAGTGCAGTGGAATCTAGGGTTCCCTGGTTATTATGTGGACATGAGGTTCCTGGAGAATCCTGGAAGTAAAAAACGTGCCTCTGAATAGAGCTTCCAGATCACTTGTCCATTTTCAAACAATGAACAGAAAACCATTCCTTGCCAGTGGATCCAAAGATGAACTTGAAAGCGAAACCCAACAGAAACAAGTAACTCTGGGAACTAACCAAGAATTTCACAATCAGCACAAAGCCTGTAATGCTTGATGGTTCACAAGAAAAAAGAAAGCTGTGGCTAGAGAAAGGAATAGAATATAGAGAGCTTTGTGAAATTGGAAATATTATTGAACACATTGTAAAATGCTCAGTTGAAGCATTACAAGCAAACGCCTAAGACACAAGATGAAAATAAAAAGCAAGGGGCTGAAGAATTGGCTTCGTGGGTAGGAGTCCATGCTGCTCTTACACAGGATACAAGTTCACTTCCCAGAACCCATGTTAGGCAGCTCACAATTCTTTTAAACTCTAGCTCCAGGGGATCTAACACCCTCTCTAGCATTCATGGCACTCTCACACACATAACATTCACATACAGAGACATACATGCATATAAATAAAAATAAATATATATTTTTTAAGTTGGCAATGTAAGCTAAAGGCTAAGAAATACCAGGGCAAGATTAAAGAAGTCTAACATCTGGGTAGCTCATGAGATAGATAGATAGATAGATGATAGATAGATAGATAGATAGATAGATAGATAGATAGATAGATAGAAAGAAAGATAGAGACAGACAGAGACAGAGAGACACAGGGAGACAGAGAGACACAGAGAGAAATGGTCAAAGACACAACAGAAGAGAATTTTTCAAAAATATATCTTCATGCCTAAAGCACCTAAGAGGTACAAAGCAAGAAGAAAAAGGTAGCTTCTTAACCACATTTTAGTGACAGACACGTAAGTGCTGTGGGATGGTCTGTATGTCAAATTGCTCTGATTGGTCAATAAAGAAAGCACTGATTGGCCAGTGGCCAGGCAGAAAGTATAGGTGGGACTAATAGAAAGAAGAATTGAGAGAACAGGAAGGCAGAGGGAGACACTGCCAGCCGCCGCCATGACAAGCAGCATGTGAAGATGCCGGTAAGCCACGAGCCATGTGGCAAGGTATAGAAAATGGATTAATTTAAGCTATAAAAACAGTTAGCAAGAAGCCTGCCAAGGCCATACAGTTTGTAAGCAAAATAAGTCTCTGTGTTTACTTGGTTGGGTCTGAGTGGCTGTGGGACTGGCAGGTGACAAAGATTTGTCCTGACTGTGGGCAAGGCAGGAAAACTCTAGTTACACATAAGGACATGGCTAGAGATAACTTCCAGAGAGGAAAATGTCCACTAATAAAGGAATCAATATTGTTAGAACCAATACACGAAGTCCATGCAAGGAAATTTAGGTTCAGCCTAGAATCTCATACCAAGCTATAGTGCTAATTAGCTTTGGGGGAAGAATTCTGGCATGTTTAAATCCATGAGGACTTAGAAATTCAATTCTTGTGTATTTCTGTACTGATTCCCCTTCCATTTTTTGAATAAAGTTATGTGAATGTGATTTCCAACAGTATGAAAAACAAAACAAAGAAAAACACGCAAAAATAATAAGTTCAATTAAAGAGAGCAATGCCAGGGAGAGGGCTTTAGAATTATACCTATTTGGCAGAGAAGTCTAGCCTTATACAAGGGTCTCTTCAGGGGTCTATGCACAAAAGGTTATCAGAAAAGTAGTATGATGGAGACTATAGAAACCTTATAGATAAAGTGATGGTAAAAAATGAAAGAGAAGAAAAATAAACTGTAAAATTGAACAATTAAATTACTAGAAATGAGTAAAAGGTATGTTTTAGGGTGATATCCATGTCCCTAGCTCAGATAACTGAATAGTGGTGACAGCATCACCATCTTTATCAAGACCTGGCGTCAGCAGGGGCAAGCAGGGAGCTTTTATTCTTGAGGAGTGCCCCCCCCCACATGAGTGGCACAGAGGCAGAGAAACACTAGGCAATGAGCGCTTTAGCATCATGGAGGACAGGCATCACTCGGGTCTTTCCCATCATGTTGTGGAAACTGGAGACGCCAATGCTGAAGGCAGCAGAATCTCATGGTAGCTCTCTAGCTGTGAGTCCAAGCTCACAGCCTCTGAGTTTGTGCACTAATATTGTGCTCTCTGCAACTGTCCTGAGGATGAAGGCCCCCAGGAGAGAGGAGACAACAGATGCTCTCATCTCTCATGTCAGGTGGTCAGTAAATGCCATCAAAAGCTGTTAAACCAAGAGCTCGGGGTACACATGCCATGTGGAAAAGCATCCAGAAGGATAAGGAACAGGCATGTTTGAGGTGTTGTTTCTGGAGGGTGAAGCTGTGGGGTGGGGAGAAGATGCCACAAGCTAGGTTTAAGTTTGATCTGTACACTGGTTTTACTGTTTAACATTTATATATGCTTTAGCTCAAAATGATCCTTTTGAATGTATTCTGATCTGCCACCATCACTCTGAATGTCCTTGGCACAGTGAGCTGTTGAAGCTGTCTGTCCTTGGCATTATTGCTCTGGTGTCTCTGTGAACCAACTTTTGGAAGAGGTCATAAATCAGGTAATGAGCCACTCATGGGCATCTGTTCACCTCTTGCCAAACCTTCTTTCCCAAGAGTCTTCTGGGAACCTGGACTTGAGAAAGACCCTATTTAGGGCTGTCACTGTCTTGGTTGTGGGGCAATAGGCAGCAGAGCAGCCTTGATTTCCACCATCTAGACTTCAGCTCTAGACCGCTCTTGCAGTGAGAAGTGCTGATTACAGCTTTCAGTGTTTTCTCTGCCCTACAGAGCCGTCTTCTGAACCAGTATCAACAAAACGCTTCCCAACAGGATCCCTGACACCAAAAAGTCCCCACTGACGCCAGTGTAATTATCATTCTCGGACACGAGGCCTTGTCAGGCCACACAGATAATCACCTCCAACTGCAGCCGACGATTAGTCGGTCAGTCAGCTGACATCAAGCACTCCTGGGAGGTTCTCAGAGGTGACAACAGAGGAGAAGGCCTGGCAGCACCCTCTGTAGGAACCCTGAAAACTGACAGGAGCTGAGGGTGTGGAGAAGGAGGCAGAGGCAGAGGCAGAGGCATGCACCTTCAGGGTGATATGCAGCAATGGGCATTCTCTGTTCCCTGGGCTGGGATGGTTCCAGGTGAAGAGGAACAAGAACTCACAGTTCTCTCATCGAACTCACGAGAACATCCTTTCATTTTCGCTCCCGTGTACTGACTAGATCCAACGGTTCGATCTCTGCTCTGTGGAACCTCCTCTTTGGTTTTGCACCTCCACGCTAATTGCAGCTATTTCCACTTGCCAGAAAAGTTGTCCTTGTGGCTTGGCTTGTCAGCCTGCCCATCTTTCCAGTCTATCAAGAACAAAGTGGTGTTGATGTATGAAGATATTATAACAAAACCCACTGTTTGGGATGCCTACTTTAAAAAAAAAAGACTTCATGTGACTCTAACATTTACTCTGGATCTTTGTTCGAGTCCTTCAGTTATAGTTACAATTAATTACAGAGCTGGAGGACTTAAAGGCTTTTCTAGCTATTTCTCCAGTAGACTGTAAGCTTTGTGAGAAGAAGGACATCCTAAAATAATTCAAATAGCTAATATATGTAAAGCACACAGAATTTTAGTGCTTGGAGTAGAAGTAAGATAAGGTATTTGTTATCACTACCATCATGACCCAAGTCATAAGCCCTACCACAATATCTGGCACATGAAAGCGGCCATAGAGCAACTATTTCTACATCTGGATTCTTGGAACATTCTGGAGAAACTGAGTTTTATTCCTGAGGAGTAAAGCAGTGGTCCTGGGTATAGGGTGAGAGTGCAGGTATTTGCTGTAGTATTAACAAGGGATCAGTGATTATTTGAAAAAAGAAAAAGAAAAACAAAAACTGGATGGTCTTGTAGACAGGAAGCACAGTTTGGGGGGAACCACAGGACACTCTAATGACATGAGCTACTGAAAACAGGTTTCTGTTGGCTTTGAGACAGAACCTCCGTCTTTAGGATGGTGGGTGTGGTGGTTGATATTGTCATCCTGGTGAGAGAAACATGCATGGGACAGAGCTTTTCAACTCAGTTAATTGAGGAAGAAAGACCAGCTCTGTGACTGACGCAATCCCATGTGCTGGGATGCTGGACTCAGTAAAAAGGAGAAGGCAAGTGGATCCTAGCATTCCCTGTTCCCTGCTTCCTAGCTGTGGATGCATGTAAGTAGTTACCTCATGGCAGCCATTGCGGTGACTTCCCTGACGTGATGGACCAGACCCTCCAACTGTGAGCCCAAACAAACACTCTCTCAAGTTGTTTTCCTCAGGCATCTTGCCACAGTCATGAAAACAATTACTAACACCTTCTGTTCTGGAGAAACACCTAATGTAACCAGTAAATTCATCTTCATCAGCTCTAGCTAGAAATAGCTGGTTAATCAGCCTCAGACAGATGTTGCCTTGCTCATTGTCTTTGCTGCCTCAGCGAAGTGCATGTGTGTGCTGACATCTGGGCAAACCTCTCCAGGAACAGTGATGGGTCAGTTAGCTGTCTCCCCACATGGTGCATGGGGAGTGCCTGAACCATAATTTTGCAAAGTGGGGGACATTTTCATTCAGAGAATTATTTGTTGGCCCCTGAGATTGTTGCCTGAGTAGCCCCCCTTTTGTTTGGAAATACTATCTGCATTTGGACATCTCACCCCATTTGTTCCAGATTCCATTCAAATTTTTTTTTATCATTTCTCCCATTCCTCGGTGTTTACACAAATGTTACTCAAGACCACTTCCACCAGAGAGCCTTCCCTGAGTACTCCAGATGACAGACATCTCTTCCTTCACAGACATAACCAGTCATGGATTTATAACATTCATTCTTCCCATAGCTGCAGCCTATGCCATAAAAGCACACTATTGCCTTTCATTACCACTTGAGTGTGTATTGCTGCTGAGCATTAAGTATGCCAGACTTAGCTTCCTGAGTGGACTGTAGGGTCTTTGAGCAGATACTGTATTATGCCTCTCTGTGGTCCCTTCCACAGTTAGCACCGGTAGATGAATAGACTATGTACACAGTTCATTCCCCTATGAATGGATAGACCTTCCCAGAATCCATTAAAAAAGATTTTCCTAAGACCCTTTCACAAAAATTTTTTCTTTTACTTTTTACTTCAGATTGTCAACACATCCTGAAGGATTAAAGCTGCAGATCTGAAACACAGATTTATATTTGAAAGTGCTACAACATATTTCAGATGCTTTACAGTATGTGAATAGTTGGAATGCAAGTTTAGGTTATTAATCCTTGGGGACAGAACTACTACATTCTTATGTATTCAAATATTCTTATCAAATTATCATAGGGGCTGGAGAGATGACTCAGTGGTTAAAAGCACTTGTTGCTGTCACCAAGGATCCAGGTTCAGTTCCTATAACTCACATGGTTGTTTAAAACTCTCTGTAATTCTAGTTCTAGGGAATTCAATGGCCTCTTCTGACCTTTGTTGGGTACCAGGCATGCGCTTGGTGCACACACAGACCTACAAGCAAGCACTCATAAATGTACAATTAAATAAATAAATTTTAAATGCTTTTAATAAAAACTAGCATACTCTGAGCAGCTATAGGTAGGAGGTTGTTTTATAACGAGTGAGTGTCCTTGAGTGGGTCTGTTACTGAGCCGGTCAGAACAAAACCAGATCTAGTTCTGTGGGTGTCCTACAATATGCTTCCAGTGATTTGTACTACTGTAAAGTTATAAGCCCCCTACAACCCCCCACGCCTGCTCACTTCTCCAGGTACATCGGGCCAATTTATCAAGGTCTACAGTGAGTGTGAGTGGGTGACGGTGATCCAGCTTCCCATTGGCCTTTAGCCTTGTTTGGTATGAGGTCTCTGAGATAGGCAGGTTATGGATGTCTTGCTGTTCCTAGGGATAATTCAGGTAACCCTCTTGTTTCCAGTGTACTCTGAGGGCGAGAGCAAGGGAGTCTTGTGAGAACTCGTGGGCCTCACTGCGCTCTATGCCCGTTAGTCAGTAATTCTAAAGTGGTCTGCCAGCTCAGCCGAGCAGACTCTCTTCTTGTCGTGATTCATTGCCTGCTAGAAGCACACAGCTGGCCTTAATCTAATTCTTCCCATCACCTTGCAAACTGGGTAATACTATCTCCAATTTGCACATGAGAAATGATGTTCACAAAGGTTAAGTGACCAGCCCACATTCTCACTCCAGGTGGATGAAGAAGCCAGACTATGGGAACAACTCTATGCCTTAGAGCATCACTGTCTTTCCAATTTCTGCATTTCCTATATAATCTAGTGACTGCAAGTCTAAAATAAGCACTAACCATGGTCCTATAGTGCTAACCCATTTTCTTGGTAAATTCTTTTTCCTGTTTTCTGATACTACTGCCCTCTTTAGACGGGTCTTCATGCATCCCGGGATGACCTTGATCTACCAATCTTCCTGCTCTACTTCCTGAGTGCTGGGATTATGTGTACCTAGTTCTGCGGAGTGCTGGAGACTGTGCAAGGCAAGCATTATACCCACCACGCTACATCACCAGCCCCGAGTTAGCTTTTTAAATGTCTTCTGTATCCTCAAATCTCCCTCACTATTGTTATAATTCACCAGAAAATGGAGAGCTACAGCTGTATCTTCTCCCCAGCTTCCATATACAGGAGTGGTCGTCATTCTCCATGTCTTCCCTTCAATTGGAGAAGAGATGTCTTTACTACAGACCAATCCCTCCACTTGTCTCTGAATCTCAAGTCTCCTCACCACCATTCTCTCAGTCTCTCTTCCTTCTCCAATATCCTGACTTTCTTCTACGTCATCATTCCATCCAAGGCCCAAACCCATTTCCAGTCTCTCCCATTGAAACAGTTGTCTGAATCACCTTTCAGCTGCCTGCTGATCTCTGGGTTTCCATCGCCTGGCCTGTAGCACTCCCTTTACCAGCTGTTGGCTACCTAGTCCATCCAATGTACCATGGCTTCTCTGGCTTCCACTTCATGGAATGTGCTTATGCCAAGGTACCTGTGCTTCCTTTCCAGTTCCACAAGACTTCATTTCTCATCAACATTTTACTCCGCTCAATCACTTTTCAGGGAAGAAGGTTTAGAGGAAAGGACATCCCCAGATTTAGGCACTGAGTTTGGGGAGCCATGAAACTATACAAGAGGTAGAAAAATTCACGTTTCTTGAGTGAAAAGAGAGCATTGAGGGTGCAGGCAGGAGGAGGGAGGCTTACAGAGGAGACCAAGAAGTGCAGCACTGGGATGTGAGATGCCCAAGTGATACACACTCAGTGGTCAAGAGAGTCATGCTCCATAGGTAGATAAGGTTAATAAGGACTGGAAAGCTGAAATTGGATTTGGGCAGTTAGCAGGGCACTACTGGTCATCATTTATAAATAACTTCAGGATCAGAGAAGAGGTTGATGTCATCAAGCCGGACTTATTGAACTGAAAGGCCAGCCACAAAGTACAGACATTTCTTCTGAGAACCTTTGTTATAAAGGGAAAAATAGTAGAGGACAGACCCAAGGGCGGAGAGCGCTGAAGGGGAGTTTTGAAAAGAAATAGGTTATATCTGACCTTGTTCAGAGACCATAGAGTGGAAGGCTTACCTAATTCCAAACCATTTATGCTACAGCTAAACATAGAATCTATTTTTTCCGTCAACGAGATTTAGATAATATATGTAAAGCACAAATGAATTTGGTACAGCATTATCCCTTCTACTATGTCATAATGACTTACCAGGAAGCCAACAAATTGCATTTTCTGATTCTATAACAAACCATTCACTCTTCTCTTCTCCAAAGAGCTTCATTGAAGCTCATCCAGAAGTTCTTCAATGGCTGAACTTGTCTACATGGTCTCTTGCTTGTGTCTTTCTGAAAGATGAAGGGGTATCTGGCACTGATGTTACCAGCTTGAATGTTACTATCAATTTTGTTCTGGGACAGCATATAGCCAGCCAGACTATATCATTATTCAGGCCTGGTAAAGCCCACATGCTCAACTTCTTCCTTATGGGACTATACTTTTCTGATTTAAATAATGTGGAATATGACTTTTACCAAATAATCTTGATATACTTTAGTTTCTAGGACCTGAATTCCAAGATCACCTTCAAATATCTAGAAAAACAAACCCATTTTTTTCCTTGCCAACCATCTAGACAGACACTGGCCAATTAACACAAGATGTCCTACAACTCTTTATATGGAAATCCTGATCAACTGTTCTCAATAAATGGAAGATAAAAATCAAAACAACCTGAAACTTAATTCTATGCACCAAAGCAACAGAATCAACAAACTGATGTTTGGAAACCTGTCATAATCATTCACTTAATTTTCTCTCCTCGTTATACAACTCTGTAATCCATAATAGGTGTTCTAAGGATTCTTATTTCTCAATATCATTCTAAA